CAGGGAATGAGATCAATGAGAGAATCTCATTCACCAAGGACACATACTCTAAGAAGTAACTGCTTATGGAGAATCCTAGAAAGTGCAAACTGTATCATCAAATTTTACTTGAAACTATTTTTGAGAGTGACTGCATTTCTTTTCAGTCAAAAAATTTATACTGAACAAATGGATTTTTTCTGATGGACTGCTAAGAAAACAGAGATAAGACTTAAAAAACTCAGAAGAAACAAAATTTCACATTTTAGGAACAGTGAGATCATAAAATAATTTGTGATGTGTGATCTCTATTGGCAAACTGGCTGGATTTGGAATCACGTAGGAGCCACATTTTGGCAAATCTTTGAGAGAGTTTTTGGAGAACTTTAACTAAGGAGGAAGGACCTACACTGAATGTGGGCAGCACCATCCCATGGCTGGGATGGATGAGAAGGGAAAAGTGGGAAAGACAGTGAACTTCCTCTGATTCTTGACTGAGCCACAGTTCCCATTGCCATGAACTTTATGATGTGTACATCCTCGCCATGATGGCCACTTCCTTTCCATGATGGGCACTTCCTCACTATGATGGGCACATCCTTGCTGTAATGTGCACATCCTCACTGTAATGGGCACATCCTCACCATGAAGGGCACATCCTTACCATGATAGACACATCCTCACCATGATGGGCACATCCTTGCCATCATGGGCATTCCACATTATGATAGGCACTTCTCCATGATGGACACTTTTCCAACCACGATGGGCTTTCCCACCATGATAGGCACATCCTCATCATGATGGACACTTCCCTGCTATGATGGGTGCTTCCTCTCCATGATGAGCACATCCTGGCCATGATGGGCATTCCTCACTATGATGGGTATTACTGGCCATGATGGGTACTTCCTGCCATGATGGGCACTTCCTGCCATGATGGGCATTATCCTCTCAAGCTTTGAGCCAAAATAAATCCTGTTCCCATAAGTTGCTTTTTGTCAAGTATTTGGTCACAGTGATAAAAATATTCAAAAATCATATTTTAATATTTTTAAATAGATTCAATTGAAAACTTAAATTTGGGGATTTATTATAACTCACAGTAGAGAAGTTGGATAGCATGGTCAAGGCTGTAGGTTCAAGCCTCACTATGAAAAAAAAACATAAAAGAAAACCTAAGTTTATTTAAGTAGTCAATTTTATACTGTTTCCATCACTGTATGTTTTGCCTTTTAAGAAAGCAATTCTTGGGTTGAGGATTTAGCTCAGTGGTAGAGCACTTGCCTAGCAAGCACAAGGCCCTGGGTTCAGTCCTCAGCTCCGGAAAATAAAAAAATAAATTAAAAAAAAGAAAGCAATTCTTATTTGGAAGTAAGAAGTTATATATGCATGCTGCAAGAGGCAGGGATCATTACTGAGCTAAAATAAACTGTGACACTGGAAGTCATGTAACTTGAGATCACATAACTCAGACACTGTACCAACTACCACATACACACATACAAACAACAAAACAACAACAAAAACTGCTCCCCTCGATCAGAAAAGGTTTTGAACAAGTCTTGAAGAATGTGTCAGCAATTAGACTTGGGGGAAAACAGCCCAGGGAGAGAGAAAAGCAGGAAGAAAGAGGTTTCAGGAAGCTCTCCTACGCCGTGCTCACCTGGAGCTAAGAAAGAAGACAACAGCAAGCCTGAGAAGGGACTGCAGGTTCTCACCAGAGGCCTGGCCTCAGAAGAGCAGCTCAGGGTCTCCAAAGCTCAGCGAATCATCACTGTACCTGAGACTGTCCACGGTGTAGGGCAGAGTGTGGAGAAGTGGGCTGACCAAGTACGCAACCTCTGCAGTGACCCTGAAGGAGGTACTGCAGAAAAAGGCTCAAATACAAGAGCTTCCCTCGGAAGAAGGCAATGGGACCAAAAGTCACCTGACTGCATGGGATGGCTGTGATATTGTCAGCTGGGTCACACCCATCAGAGTGGCAGAAAGAGCATGTGGTCAGTACCAGGGGTGGCTACGGGAGACCCAACACTGACCCGATGCTGTCAGGGGGAGAGTTAGTGGTAAATTTTGTTATATACTAATTTTATGGATTTTGCTGCCTAAGCACGAGGTTAGAAGAGAAACATCAATGATATCCTCTACCTCTGTTCTGCCTGACTGCCCACTGAACAGCTGGTTCTGTCTCTGAGTTACTGCATTTGCCAAATATTCAGTGAGTTACTACTGTGTGCCAAGGACTATTCTAGACTGTTGGAGCAAATCACTAAAGAAACAAAGATTCTTGCCTTCAAGGAACTTGAATTCTAGTGGTAAGAAGATAATTAAATGAACAAGACCATATGTTAGAAATAAAAACAAAATGCAGTGAGGGACATGAGTAAAAGCCAGACAGGAAGGACGAGGAATGGTGGCTGCTGGGTAGGAGAGGAGGTGCCGTCACCAGTGTGGTGTCTGTCCTGTTATGAAGAACTTCCACTCTATCTCCATGAGAGAACCTTAGGTTCAAAATCGTACCTGACTCAGCACCACCTCAGATCACCTGCTATCACATTTTCTCTTTCCCTCCTGGGAAACTCCTCCTTGTATGAGTTATTCTCCCAGATACTCTGGTCATAGCTATACAAAAGTAGCTAACTCACTTAGGAGTTTTTAAACACACATTTTTGGTCAGAAAGCTCAAAGCTAAATTTGCAATCATTTTCCAAGCAGTATGCTAAGCCTTGAAGCACTGTTTGTATTTGCTTTCATTTTATTTTCTAACATTCCCTTTCCTGTTGCTTAGGTGTTGTCTATGGAAAGGGAGGGCCCTGTGAGATTTTTTACCCTCCCATTTTAGCATGTCTATTCATGTTGTCATTGTTCAGATCTTATCTAGGCAGCCATGCTGCTGAGGTATCATGGGTTAAGCTTCCCTGCCATTTTTAGGAAACACAATCCCACAGCAGACTTCCTGTTCCTCTGGCTCTTACAATCTTTCCACCTCATATAGGACCTATGCAAACTGCAAAAGAAGAAAGCAATCAATAGTCCTATCTAGCTGTGATGTTTATGAACCACAACAATGACCAGCATGGCAAGATATGCCTGCAGGTGCAATAGTGGCGCACATGTCTTGGCTGCAACCAACAGCTGTCAAACTGGACTTAAAGCCCACTCAACAGGAGGGCAGTCATGCCTGGTGCTGTAAACCCAGCCAACTACCAGGGCCAGTGAGGGTACGGATCTTACAGGAAACCATATCCCTGCCACTTTACTAAGCCATTGTAATTCTGAACTGTACTCTAAAATTGTCCTTATACCCACTGACAGCATAGTTCTCACCTATCATCAAACAGTTCTCTTAGCAGTAGATGAAAACCATTACATAAAACTACAACTGTCAAACTGCAGAGAACAACTGATCACAGGGTGCCCAGCAGCAACACATGCACCACAGCACAGTTCCTGCACCTAACGTTCAGGGGCATCACTGCAGCTGGAGTTTTCCTGCCTGGCCCACAGTCAGGACAAATCTTTGTCACCCGCCAGTCCCACAGCCGCTCAGACCCAACCAAGTAAACACAGAGACTTACATTGCTTCAAACTGTATGGCCATGGCAGGCTTCTTGCTAACTGTTCTTATATCTTAAATTAATCCATTTTCATAAATCTATACCTTGCCACGTGGCTCATGGCTTACTGGCATCTTCACATGCGGCTTGTCATGGTGGCAGCTGGCAGTGTCTCTGACTCAGTCTTCTACTTCCCAGAATTCTTTTCCTCCTTGTCCTGCCTATACTTCCTCCTGCCTGACTACTGGCCAATCAGTGTTTTATTTACTAAGCAATCAGAGCAACACATTTGCCATACAGAACATCCCAGAGCACATCACTCTACTTTTAGCTTTGCTTCTAAATTGGCAAATAGGAACTGTATAGATATTTGGGGTGCAATTTGGTTTTTCTATGTGTTTATATTACAGAATAACTAAATGGTGTTAATTAGCATATATATATATATATATATATATATATATATATATATAAAATTACACAAAACTTTTTTTTGAAACAGGGTGTCTCTACATAGCCTGGGCTGTCATGGAACTCACTATGTAGATCAGACTGGCCTTGAGATCACAGAGATAAAGCATGTGCCACCACACCCAGCCCATATACTTATTTTTAATGATGGCAGTATTTAAGTCACACTGTCTTAAAGTTATGATTTTTATTTAAAATGTCTCCTATAGGCTTATGTATTGAAGGCATGGTCCCTAGAAGGTGGCACTATGTAGAAAAGTTGTAGAAACTTTAGGAGGTAGAAGCTAGCTAAAGACAGACATTCATTCTTATATCCCCATTATCTCCTACTCTCTCTCTCTATTACCCCAACTTCTTTAATAGTTGTATAATCTTCCATGCTACCTGTTCCTGCTACCATGATGTTCTACCCAAACACAGAGCAAACAGGCTTGGACTACATTCCCTGCAGCCAGAGGAAACACATTAGCTGCGATTTTCACACTGCTGCAACCTTGCACTAGGTAACACCCGTCTTCAGTGACATCCTGTGCCCTTTAATAACCTCTCACCATGCCATTCTTCTCCTCCTCTTACCTGCTCATTTACCTCTAGTTTATTAAGCATTATTGTCAGCTGGAACTGAATAAATATGGAGCTTATAAATAAATATTCAAGATAAAACTTTAGTTGAAATGCTGGATGATGGTGGCACACACCTTTGATCCCAGCACTCAGAGGCAGAGGCAGGCAGATCTCTGTGAGTTCAAGGCCAGCCTGGTCTACAGAGCAAGTTTCAGGACAACCAGAGCTGTTACACAGAGAAATCCTGTCTTGAAAAACAAAAAACAAAAAACAAAAAATTAATTGAAGACTGACTACTTTAAAAACCAGCTTTGGCTTCTTTTAACACTACAATCAATAGTTTAATTAAAGTCAAACCTACTGACACAATGTAACTAAATAGTTACTCTGTGTAACCCCCCACATTTGTCACACACAATAGGTACTTACATGAAATTCACACAGCCTGTGCCCGCTGGGGGGGCAATCCAGACAAAGCTGAGGTTGGTTGTAGGCAGGTGACTCACATGAGAGGCAACTACACTGCACATAAACTGGTTACCAAACTGGTGGTCAGACATGATCCCTGTAAGACAGAAAGAGAGGGATGTTACAAAGAAAACAAAATGAAACAGTCCTTCCTACCCACCAAGGCATGATATTTTATGGATGTCTTTGATCCTTCTTAACAAAACAGCTCTCTTAATTTTAACACAAATAAAAATACTGATGAAAAACTCAACAATATGGAAACAACTTATTTAGAAAATAGACAAAATACCTGAAGATATTCTGTACCAAAGAAAATACATATGGCAATTAACATACAAAAATGTTCAACAACATACACCACTGCAAACTGCAAATCAAAACAAGAACATAGCAACTATCTGCTGTCACAGCAGCCCAAATTCCACCATGGACAATACCGCTTGCTGGTGCAGGTATGTACTGAGCTCTTTCTCCCATTGCTGGTGAGGACACAAAACTCTTCAGCCCTTTGAGGAGACAATTTTCTCATAGAACTGAAAATACGATTACCATAACACATAAGAGTGGTTTTCTTTACCACTCATCCATATGAAATGAAAACTTGCATTCACGCACATACAAAAACCAAGTGTTTTAAAGCAGTTTTGTTAATAATTGCGAACACTCAGAAGTAACTAGAAGTTCTTTCAGGAGATGGGTGATTAAATTAACTATGATTTAGCTAAAATAATGAACAAACTATGAAAGTATATAAAGAAAAGTGAAATATGTATAGTACAATGTGAAAGCAGCCAATCCGAAAAGGTTACAGGATATCTGATTCCCGGCTAGACATCACATTATAAAAATGCAAACTACAGAAACAATTCAAAGACGAGTGCTCCCCAGGGCCTGGAGAGGGACAAAGGGGAAGGCAGAACATGGGGTCTAAGGGCGGAAGGGCAGTTCTACACAGTGCTTCAACAATGGATCCATGTTGTTATGTAAATGCTCAAAACTCATAGAACATAAAATACCCAGAGTGGACCCTAATAAATGTCATGGACTCTGGGTGATAATGATCTGTCAGGTACAGGGTCATTGATTTTGATGAATGAGCCACTGTAGGGCAGGATGTCAGCAAGAGGGTTTTCATGTGTGGAGGCAAGGGCTATGTGTGTACTTTTAAAACTTAATTTTCCTATGAGTTTAAAGTTATCTAAAAACCACACATATTAGCTGAAAACTAAAACATTGCCAAGAATAGGAAACTAAGTTTCAAATTTCTCTTATTTATTGGATTTGTGGTATTAAGTAAATCTCTCCAATCAAAAAAAAAAAAAAAAAAAAGGAAATTCTGGCCCCTTATATCATAAATGCCTAAATTTGTTGTGAGACAGGAGGAAACATATTGGTACTGCCAATACAACCAAGAATTCATGGCTAGGGGAGCTCATAGTCCCTGGAGGTAAACCTACTATGACTACTTTGGTAAATGGATATAAAAAGTTTAGAGATCATAGGTAAAACATGAAGTGTGTTTAATTCTCACAACATACAATGCCTCATGTTGCAGCTAGCTGACTCTGCTTATGACAAGCACCAGTTTTCTTTCTGCCTTCCACAATTGTACAATAGAATTCTAAGTATTTCCCCACAAACATCTCATTCTATTCACATTGTCTAGACCTGTGCCATCTAAAATGGCTAAAATAACTTGATTAAAAGTAGATAAAATAAAGAAGTCAGTTCTCCAGTTGCTGATGAGGCAGCCACAGGTATCTAGTGGCTGCCTATTGGGCAGCAAAGAACAGAACACTTCCTCCAAGGGTGAAATTCCTGCTGGATGGCTGAT